AATATCATAATGCCACTATGTAAATCCATGGTATGCCCACACCTTGAATACTGCAGTTCTGGCCTCTCCATCTCAACCCCCATCTCTTCCCCCCACCCCAAAAAAAAAAAAAAAACAACAACATTAGAATTGGAAAAGGTGCAGAAAAGGGCAATGAAAATGATCAGGGGTAGGGAACAGCTTCCTTATGAGGACAAGTTTAAAAGCCGGGGACTGTTTGGTGTGGGGGAGATGAGAGGTCTATAAAGCTCTGGACGGTGTGGGGAAAGTGAACAGAGAAGTGTTATTTACCCCTGCACATGTCACAAAAACTAGGGGTCACCTAATGAAATTAACAGACAGCAGGTTTAAAACAAACAAAAGGCAGTACTTCCCACAACGCACAGTCCACCTGTGGAACTCGCTGCCAGGGACTGTTGTGAAGACCAAAAGTATAACAGGGTTCAAAAGAGAACTAGATAAGTTCCTGGAGGACAGGTCCATCAATGGCTATTAGCCTAGATGGTCAGAGATGCAACCCCATGCTCCGAGGGTCCTTAAAACTCCACCTGCCAGAACCTAGGAGTGGATGACAGGGATGGATCGCTTGAAATTGCCCTGTTCTGTTCATTCCCTCTGAAACCGGCCATTGTCAGAGACAGGATGCTTGGTGAGATGGACCATTGGTCTGACCTTATGGCAGTTCTTATGAACTGGGCAGGGACCATTTTCCATTGGCCACTGAGCAGCCAAATGGTGCAAAGTGCTTTAACTAATGCCTGACCTAGGCTGATGCTATAACTGGGAAAACAGGTGACAAATTAAAGGCAGGGCAGTTGCATTTTTTTATGCTTTAGGGCTGCGATTCTCAAACTTTAGGAAACCGAGGACCCCCATCTTGATTTAAAAATTTTTGTGGACCCCCCCCCCAAGCACCCTGCTCAGCCCCAAACCATGCCTCCACTCCACCTCTCAGGTGGGGATTCTGCGGACAGACCCTCCCCTGCGGTGAGTAAACCCCCATGCCCAAAGCCACCGTACTCGTTTCTGGGACCATTGGTCCAGGTAGGCTTGTTTGATGTGGTGCCAGTTGTGGACTAACTCCCACCCCCAGCCCCGGCTCCTCAGTGCTCCAGCCCCCTAACGTGCATCCCCCCATTCTGCCAAGGATCTCATGAGCCAGAGCAGCCCAAACTTTCCCAGCTGCAATTTGAATGAGTGAGCACCAGGGGGCAAAGCCACGACCTAAAATCGACAGGCTGGTTGCAAGAGCTGTAACTGTACCAGTGGGCTGCGTGGGGGTGACAGGTGGTAGCAGAGATGCCTTGAGGTTTGGGCATCATCTGGACCTGTCGGACCCCAGGCCAGTGTGCGATTAGGGGCACGTTGAACTCCTGCAATCTGGGACTAGCGCAGCAGCTGGTAGAGATGGTGGGGACAGAGATGCTGTCCGGGCACCCTCCCACACACACCCTGCGCTGACTGGCCAGAGCGTCTGGGTTGTCCATGGAGGTGCAGGGCTTGTAGGGACCATGTGTGGTTAAGGAAACTCTTGGACATAATCCATCACTTAGCTAGCACGATGACACCCTGGAGAGCAGTTGCGATGTGTGCACCCAGCCCCCTGCCGGGTCCCTCGAGCATCCCGGCCGAGCGTGCTTGGCCTCTATGGGCAGCACTGGGATGCTGTGGGCCTCTTTGCTGTGCTGCCAGCTCTGTGGCCTCCATCTGTCTCCCTGGCTGGCTGCCCCCCCGGCCCAGGGGGCTGATGGCCGTCCCTGCTGCTGGCTCTGTCCCGCCCTGTAACCTGTCGTCTTTTGTGTCTAGTTTCTAGCCTGGGGCGGGGCTTTGGAACTGGCTGTGGGGAATGTGGCTCCCCTTGGAAGCACCAGCTGGGGCAGGAGAGATTGAGGCACCCAGAGCCCACGGTGATGGGCACAGTGTGAAGATCTAGAAGGAGGCGGCCTGCACTTGCCAAACCTACAAGGCAGGGCCCTGCTCCGTGGAACTCAGGGTCCAGCTGGGAGAGTGGCTGCTGCTATTCAGGCTGAGCAAACTCCCAACCCCCTGTTGCTCCTGCCCTGTCCCTTTGGGCAGCAGGCAAAGCGCCGGTGCTGGGCGGCAGGCCTGGGCGACTCGTCCAGACAGTGATCTCCAAGGAGGGGTGAGGTGGTGATGCTGTCCTGGGCCAGCCCGGCGCTGGGTGCAGTACGAGAACGTCCTTTTTAACACAGGGTTGTTGCTATTCTCTGTTCTCCAGCCTGCCCGCCTTGCTTGCCCAGAGGCAGCTCTTCCAGCAGCACTGGTACAGCCCAGCCAGCTCCCCCCTGCACCGCCGCGGGCTCCAGCCCTAGTCTGAGACCTCCGGGAAGGGGGCACGGCCTCGTCCCTTCACTGAGTGGGCCACTTGGGCCACTTGGTCAAGGGTTCCAGCAGGCCTCCCCGTGCTGTGTGCAGCCCGACTGTTCTCCGGACAGGCTCATGCTCCAGGGCCCAGGCCTTGCAGGCAGCATCTCTGACGGGGAGACGTGCTGGAGAACCAGCTCGTACTCCGTACTGCAGTGGCCTAGAGAGCAGTAACCTCAAGGGCTCCCTAAAGCAGCAGCCCTCGCGGGGTTAGGGTTGCGGGGGCCGGAAGAGCCTAAATGCATTTGTTCCTAGGCCTGGTCTGCCCTGGTTGGTTGGTGGCCCCCACTGTTTATTGCTAGGCTGGTGCCTTAGCGCTGGGGAGGAGGCCCCGTGGGACATGCAGCACGTCTCTGCAGGGAGCTGGACCCGGTGCACACCCCGGCAGGCACGCACCCCGGTGGCTCTGCTTGTGTGACTACAACCCATGGCCACACAGAGCCTGTCAGCGTCTCTAGGGAGAGGGAGTGGAGGAAAATGAAGTTTGGCTGACCCCTAGTGGTGGTGTGTAGGAAAACCCACTCTCTGTCTAAGAGACAGACTGGGTGGGATTGCGGTGGAGTTGGGACCATTTAAGGCAGTTAGCAAACTGCCTCCCCCCGCTGCAGGGACTCGCTCTGAATCATGCTGGTGTTTGGAAGTGGGGGCATAAGAATGTGGGGAACAGACAGTGGCATGAAGTCCCTCCCCCTCAGGCTAATCGCAGGAGGAAATTACCCCAGCAAGGTAGCCCGGGAACGCTTGCCCTGATTATGCGCCATTGCTAAGGAGGGAAAGTACCAGGGCGACAAGCTTTTTGTGCCCAGATCTCATGGGATGTTCTGCATTAGGGAGCAGATCAGCAGGCAGCCTGGGAGAACCGGTGCTGGCTGTTCCAGTTGCGAAAACCGTTTGTCAATGACTGCGAATGAGACAGGAGCCAAAGTGAATCTGACAAAGTTCCACGTCATTTTTATTGCCAATAAACCGAAAACGGCTCTTGGAAGGGTTGGAGCCAGGGGCCGCCGGCCCTTTATGGAAGGAGGCTGGAGTCACATTCAGCAGGGGAGGCAGGTTGTCAACAGCACATAAGCCTTCGGTGCACTTATGCCCCTTAGGACTTCAGAACCTCCTACTCTGGCTCACCACAAACTATGGACATGTCAAAATGAGGCCTGCACATGGGCATGTGATTCCCTCGCCTGGGACTACCAATGGGCCACAGCAGTTCTCCAGGCGTTGTCTAATGCACCAGACCCAGGCGTTGCCCATTGAGTGGACTTCACATGAATTCAGAGCCGAGGTGGAGTCTGCTGAAGTAGACCAGGTATTTCACTCCAGCTGACGCTGGCCTGGGATCAGTCCATGCTCCAGGACAGAGCTGTGCTCACTCGGAGGGACTGGCAGACTGCTGTAGACCCCTCTCTGCTGGGGGGAGAGCAAGGGTGTAGTGCTGAGAGTGGGACAGTTGTGGAACTGGCTGGCTCGTCGTTTTTGGCCTTGCACTTCCCTGGGCGTAGGCAGGTCACCTTGCTGCACATCCTGCCCTGTATTGACCTCTTAGCCTGCACCGTGGGCTGTGCGCTCATGCTCGGGCTACCCAGCCATCTCTGCTGGGCCTGCAGCCCCCACCAAAGGTAGTCGCCGAGGTAACAATAACAAAAATGTAGGCCTGTCACTCGAGAGAGCCTGCACGACCCCTGCTCGAAGCAGGACACGGGCCTAGCCAGGAGCAGCAGCTTTGTGGCAAGCTCAAGCCATGAGCAGGAACCAGGGTGGAGTTGGGGGAGATTGATAGGGTAGAAAATGGGCTGGCTTTAACCTGCAGGATTTGTTTCCAAAATCATCCGCCTACACCCCTCCCCCCCCGGGGCTCTTTGTGGGTCCCTTGGTGTCAGAGAGAGGGAGAGCAGCTTGCTCCCCAGCCGTTCAGCCCACTGCATGCTGCCACCAGCCCCGTCTAAGCTACCCCCGTCCCTGCTGAGCCATGCTCTGAGGACCCATGATGTAGCTTGCAGCCTCCAGCCACCCTGAGCCGGGGAGGGCCCGGGGTCTTTTGTGTGCGTGCTTTTGCCGAGTGTGATACCAATTGTCACCACATGGTGACGCACCAGGCCTGCCCTTTGCCCGCATAGCACCATGAGGCTGTAAGGCGCTAGGGGCCATGGACCACGCTCCCTGCAGCGTCTGCACTGGACGTGGCCCAAGCGCGACTCCGGCCTACCCCATTCAAGGCCAGGTTTATGCTGCAGCCTTCGGCTGCCACAGCTCTGCTGGGCTGGGGCGAGGGGCGGGACGAGAGGTGACCCAACCCCACGGCTGCTCTGGCCACGCCGTTCCTACGGTAGACCCCACAAGCTGGCACAGCTGAGTTTCTACCAGGCTGACGTGTGTCACCTGGGGCGTGGGGTGGGAGGCGGGGGTTGGTACACGGCGATAAAGTGCCGCTCTGCTGGGGTAGACACGACTCCAGTGACGCTGTGGGTTTACATGGGGACGGGGGGCTCCGTCCTTGCTTCTCGGGGCCGGAGTCCCAGCGGGCAGGTCCCCTGTGCCCAGCACGGAGCCCCCAGCGTGGAACGAGGGGCTTTTGGGGCCCTGGTATTTAAAATAAACAAACACACCAGGCACACGCACCAGTGGAAAACTAATCTGTAATTACAGCACCGGCTCCCGTCCGCTTGTCCGGCAACAGGGCGCTGCATGGAAATCCCACGGCGCCGGGAGAGCAGAACACAGCATTTATCGCCTTCCAAGTCCAGTAACAAACCGCCTACCCCTCTGTTGTCCCACCACAAGGTCCGTGTGTTTCCTAGCGGACTGAAATACATCCCAGCTGGAGCTGGCCTGGTCCTTGGTGACAGGCAGCAGAGTCCACGCATCACCAAAGCTGTGCGGGCCGATCCATCCCCTGGATCTAACTCAACAGCCGCCCCTCTTAGTCCTCCCCTCTGCTGATCTCCCGCAAGCCACCCTCCAGCCCAAGGTTCAACACATTCGCCATCCACCCCGCACGTCCTCAGCCAGGGCAGCATCACCCTGGGCACAGACAGCCCAAGGCTGGCACCATGCGAGTCTCCCTCCAGCCTAAAGGAGGGCCCCTGTGGTGCCTAGCCCTTGGGAGCGCGAAGTGGTAACGAAGCCTTGCTCTGACTCCTCTGCCCAGAGCTGCATTTTGCCCCACGCTGCACGGCCCGTCCACCCGCAGCCTGCCCACTTCCCTTACTCCAACCTGCAGAAGCTTTCACCATGCAGTCGGGGGTGGGGGTATATCTGCTTAACCCCACCTTGTCTAAACTGCACCTAACACGGCCCTGGGCCTAGGTTACCCCTTTGCAGCAAAGCTCCCCCAGAGTTCACAGCATGAACATTATGGGCAGCCCCCAACCCCCGCCCCCCACATTTCATTACTCCTAAAAACTGATCCATAACCTGGCAAACCGCCCAAACCTCAGACCAATCCCTCCCCCCATGGTCAGAATGTGCAACAAAGCAGCTGTTTGCACATCAGAGCACAGCTCCTACATGCCTGTGGCTGGGGGGTGGAACGACCCACTACTGACCTGCCTGGGCGAGCGGCCCCCCCCTTCCGAGCTACCCTGGCATGGGCACTCAGAGGAGAGCACTGAGTTCCTCCCATGCAGCAGTCAGCGGGAACACGGCCGAGCTCGATGAGTAGGAGTCGCTTCCACAGTGTGCAGCAGGGACGCTGGAAGCCAATGCTGCAGGGTGAGGTGCTCAGAGCAGACTCCCCAGGGCGCAGGAAGAAGCCCCTCGCTGTCCCCAGTAGGATGCACAGCCCCCGTCACATGCATACAAGCTGGGCTGCAAGGCTGGGAGGGTCTGGTGGCCATACTACAAATGAAACGAGGTGCCTCCTGCCCCTCCATTCCCAGGAGGGCCTGGGGGTGGGGGAAGTGGCTAGCAATGGATTTTTAGCATCAGCAGCCCTCCCAATCAAACCCTTAGATGGCTTGGGTCTGGAAGCCAGTGCAGTGACCTCTATAAGGGATGGTCCCAATCCCTACTAGGGGGGATACAGTGAACTCTCAGGCCTTGGTAACAGTGGCTGGATTAGTCTGTACCCAGCTATTTATGCCACTACCAAACAGCAGCTGTTCTTCGTGTCCCGTTAGCCAATGGGGATCAGTATGAGAAGGGAACAGACCCCTGGAACCAGCATAACAGGTCCACATCCTGGACCTGTCTGTCCCCGTCAGATGCAGATTGCTTTGCGGAGACCAGTGGACTTGGATTGTCAATCAACCCAGGGTCATAGTGCTGCACGGACCGCTTCCAAGGGTATTCTCCAGCCTAGTCTCCCCCTTCGCAGCTGGGGCTGCCTTGGGCATTTCAAAGAGCCTGCCAGCACCCCATCCTGCTCTGCCTGCTCCCAGCCCTATCGCTGCAGAGTTTCCTGTTCAAGCAGCTAATACATATTAAAGCTGATTCAATTCCCAAGTGGTCAGGAGTGGAGCATCGGAGGATTTGCACTTGTGCCCCTCTCCTCTGGGCCCCTGTTCTGTTTGGGGCTTGCTAGGCAGTATCTAATACCCCCCAGCCAAGAGACTCCTATCGCACAGTTTGGGGGAACGCTGCTTGTCACAAGTCAGACACCAGTGCTGGTGAAGCGGGGGAGGCTAGACCTGGGCCCCGGCTGGGCTTAGCAGCAAGGGAGCAAACACAGACTGGCCTCCTCTGGCCAGGGTAAACAAGCGTCACCTGCCCTGGCCCCACAGCCAGTTTAGTGGGGCAGCAGCCCTGGGGCATCCCAGCCGGAGAGCAGTGGGAATGGCAGGTTGGGGTGTGGCGCTCCATGGGCGGAGGATGGCGCTGTCCGGCAGACACAGCAGCCGACCATGACTGGGGCAGGGAGAGTCATGGCAGCAAAGGAGCAGCGCCCTTCTAGAGCAGCGGGGCAGCGTTTCAGAGGGGTACCCTGCTGCGTGTGCATCACTGGACTGTGCCCGTGGCAGGCCGGCTGGACGAGGAGAGGCCCTCGGCCACCAGAGGGCTTGAAGGATGGTTGTAGCATTGCTCTCCAAGCCAATGTCTGCAGCCCACGGCCTGTGACCACTTGGGGGGCTCCAGGGGGCCTGGACTAACCCGGCCTCGTCCTGTAGCACCCAGCAGCCTGTTGGAGAGGGTGCTACAAAGCCAGCCTAGCTGCTACGTGTTGCAGAAAAGCCAGGGGAAGCAAACTGCTTCCTGGGCTGAGTACTAAGAACTCTAGTTACCCTGAGGTCTGTGCCAATCTAAATTCTAACATCGGGTAGTGATGGCACCTGCCAGTTAACTGGGAGGCTAAGCAGGGACCCTGCTGAGCCCCATGACCTCATCCACCTCATTCTCCAGCAGCTCATCCTCCGAGAAGCTGATGTGTAAGCATGTTTTGGTGCCTGTGGAGGAGAACAGCAAGGTGCTGTCCATGGTGCAGGCCATGTCTGCCGGGTCTCTCACTGGGTTCTTGCTAGCCATGTCTCCAGGTGCAGGGGCCTCTTCTGAAAGATGGCAGGTGCCAGACATGGGGGAAGCATGGCTGTTCTTGCCAGTCCTGTCCTTGCCCCATGCTGGCCGGGCCCCCTGGTTGGGGAAGAGCTCTGTGCCAGGGGCAGGAGTCCTGACGTCCGACTCGAACTCCGAGCTGGCGAGCGAGCAGGTGGTGACGTTGGTGAGACTGGATGCATTGGGGCTGGGCAGCGTCGTGGGAGCAGCGTTCTCAGGCTTGGGTTCCACCTCCAGGCTCGGGGAGGTCTTGCTCGACCTCTTCCGCAGGATGGCTGGGGGCGGGTTGAGCTTAGGGATGGGCTGCTGCAACCTTGAGAGCACAGAGCAAAGAGATGTCCATGTCTAAGCACGTCTCTGCTGAGGCTCTGGGCTCAGCTGCAAGAGATCTCAGAGGCCAGCTGCCTTCTTACAACCCTGCGGTAGCTACATCGGGGGGCAGGGGGGACCTGCAGCACCTCCCGCCCAGCCCCCTGGTCGCTCCTGGGGCCATGGGGGCAGTGTGAGGGGGAAGCAGGCTGGGGACTGAGCCCCACCCCCGCTGTCCCCAGCTCTGTGCAGAGACAGGGAAGCTCCAGCCGTGCCCGCAGGGGCCGGTGTGAAGGAGCCAGGAATGCGCTCACCCTGTCCTCTTCCTGTTCCTTTTTGGGTTAAGTTGTGCTCCACAGCCCCCAGCGCTCGTGGGTGGTCACAGCTGCCTGGCCCCTGGGCAAGACTCGCCTGCCTTTCTCCATTGCAGGCTACCGGGGAGCGTGGCCTGGCCCAGCCCCCGGGCTTGCCAAGGCCACTGGCCCAGACTCCGCGCTGAACGGAGCAGCCAGCAAGTGGGGGAGGGTCCCTGCTCCTCCCACTGCCTCGGACTAAGTGTGGGTGGCTGTTAACCAGCTGGGGGGAACAGGGAGACCGACCTACCTCTCATCCTCTGCTCTGCTGCTCGGGTCGCCTGCCTTCTGCCTGCCGCCACCATTGAGCAGAGCCTGGTCGCTGACCTCGGAGCCCTCCACCTGCCGGTGGAGACCATCCTGCCCCTCCAGCACCACCAGGTGCTCGTCCCCGTCCGTGGCAGTAGGGCCCCTGCTGCCTTTCTCCAGGCTCAGGAGGTTGAGGTAGGAGGCACTAGTGCCCAGCAGAGCCAGCGAGCCAGGGGCCAGCGGGCTGCCCAGGACACTGGCTGGGGTGGAGGTGGAGGGCAGGTTGAGTTCCAGGCTGTAATGGTTCTTCAGGTTCAGAGACAGGGACTGAGCCAGGGACAGGTTCTGCAAGGATCTGTCAACTGCCAAGGCAAAGAGAAGCAGCCTGGGTAAAGTGTTACCAGCCCCTAGCCGTGACGCTTCCCCGAGGCCCAGCCGCTCCCCTCAGGGCCTGGTCAGGCCCAGCAAAGGTGGGGCGGGGAGAGAGGGGGCTTGGCGGCCTTGGCCCCTATCAGTGAAGGCAGGGGCCTCTGCTGGCACAGGGAGATTAGAGCAGCCCTGGTCCAAAGCCAGCACAGGCTCCAGCCCCAGCTAGCCAGGCCCGCTTCCCTCCTCCTGCATGGGGAGAGGGAGAAAGAGGATGGCTGCCTGGGGCCAGAGTTGGCTTTGCACGTGTCCCCCACCACACTCTCTGCCATTAGCCCCTCTGGGGCTGGTCAGAGGCTCTGTGAGTTGCGTTGGGTCTCAGTTTGCAGCAGCCATCTGTCTGCAGCATAAAATAACAAACCCACAACCAGCTGCCAGCCGCAGGGACTGCATGGCCCCTGGCTGGAGGATGTGCAGGCTGAGCTGCCCTGCCCTCGGGGTCGGGATGGTGTACACGGGCAGGGCAGATGGGAGCTCGCTCTGCTCTGTGGACAGAGGCCAGCAGTCTCCGGAACTGCCAACCCAGTGCCGCTCACAAGCACTGAAGGCCCATGGTCGTCTCAGGCCTGAGGAGCTGCCGTGTGAAGCAGTGGAATTGGCCTTGGAACGACCGTGGGGCTAGGCCCAGGGTGGAGAGGCTGAGGTCTGGCATTTGGTTCCCATCCTGACATCTGACCAGACTCCCTCCATTCCCCATCTATGAAACGGGGTCAGAACTTCTCCTCTCCAGCGGGCTCCTCGGGGATTGGCGTACCCATATTGCAGTGCACAGGGGCACCTTTCATCTCCCATGTTAACACCCCCCTGCCTGCACCCCGGCTGAGAGCACAAAGGCTGGCTGGAACTCGGAGCGGCCTCCCTGCCTTGCTCAGCACCAGATGCTCATGAGGGGTGGAGGTGGGGATTCTCCATAGCAGCCTGCCACCCTACCAAGGACAGGTGTATTCCATAAACTGGGCAAAGGCAGGGGCTGGCCTGGCAGAGAAGGAGGGGGGTTACCGGAGGCTGCCTGCAGCAGGGTCCAGACCCCGCCAAGAGCTGCAGCCCCATACACAGGGGCTGGAAATGGGAGCAGACGTTTCCCCACCAACAAGCAGCAAATTCTCATCCAGGCCAAAGTGTCACCAGCGCCATCACTGCTCAGGCTACTGGGCAGAACTGGGCCCTGGCAGGGAGCCAGCAAAGAGCCCTCTGCCCTGATTCGGTGCTATGCCGCGCTGCAGCCCATGCTGGGGCAGGGCAAAACCAGCGTGGCAGGGAGGGTGCTGGATTAGAGCAATTCATGGCTGGAGCCAGCTCGGTCCCAGCAGCGTTTGCTTCCTGGGCTGACTCAGGGAAACGCTGGGGCTCTGGGCTGGATGAGCTTGTGGGCTGGGGAGGGCTCTGTGGCCAGAGTCCCCATGCCCTGGAGTGCCCCTAATGAGAGCACTGTCCTCTCCTTCGCTCTCAGCATCTGCCTGTAGGAGTCGAGTTGGGATGTTCTCAGCAGCTCCCCCTGGCTGTGGGCTGGAGAGATGTCCCGGCCTCTCAGCCCCACCACTGTCGGGAGGCTCTATAAGCACCACCACCACCCCCACGCCCTCCTACCTGGCTGTCTGTGCTGCACCTTGATCTCCAGCTCCTTCAGCTGCTTCACCAGCAGGGAGACGTGCTGCAGCAGGTCGCGGTTGGTCAGCAGCAGCTGGCGCACCCGGGCCTGAGCCTCGATGCGGGCGGCTGTTTCGGCAGCCAGCTGGTCTTTCAGCAGCTGCACCTGCAGGGTCAGGAGACGCCGATACGTCACCTTCTCCTGGGGAATGGCCAGGCCGCAGCTACGCTGCCCGCAGCTCCAGGGGTGCACGGCAACAACCCAGACCTGCACCCTGGCTCCCTTCTGTATGAATCTCTCTCCCAACCCCAGTCCGAGTCTGCAGAGTGGGAAAGTTTCTGTAATTTGGCTAGGATCTTTTTTTTTGACAAACTTGAGTCTGTTCTTTCTCCTCAGGTCTCCCCCTCTCTTTCTGACAGCCCAGGGTCTGGTCCCAGCTGGGTGAGCTCTGCCTTCAGAACAGATACTCCCACTGTGCACTTCATGCAGCATAGGTTGCTGCCACCTTAAAAACCAGGGCCCTGTCTGCCCTGTGTGACCCCTAAATATCCCAGGGCAGATTCTTTGGAAGCGGGGGCGTGCTCTTGTCCAAAACGGCCCCCTCACTCCGGCTGTGCAGTGAACTAGGGCCCACGCCACGGGCGGCTGCATGTCAGTGGGGCAGCATGCACGGAGGTTGCAAAGCCCTTTGTGCTTTGTGCTTTGTTGCTTCCACAGGAACTGGCTGCTCCCCTGCAGGGAAGCCCTCCTTTATCTCCCTTCCCCCTACAAAAGGAAGGAAATCCACAATGAAATATGTCTGAGGGCCTGGGAATTCCAGAGGCTCCGGGACAGTTCGGCCCCACAGAGGCAGCTTCTGCAGGCTGTAGTCAGCCCCCCTGCAATACCTTGTCCCCTCCATGTACATACCCACCCCCCGAAGCTAACAGTGAGATGCATATTTGCACACCCAGGGTAGACGAGGCTGCTCCGGCCCTGTCTTTCTCTGTCAGCAGCCGAAACCAGGCAAACTCATTGACCCCCGCCTGGCGGCTGCGGTGTCAGGCCAAGTGGCTGAGGCGGTTGTGATGCGACGGCTGCTGGGGGGCTGACCGTCCGCCCGCCATACGTAGGGGAACGTGCTGTGGAATAGCGATGCAAAGGTAAGAGCTGGGACTCTTCCTTCTGAGCTAAAGCTATCCCCTCCCCCGATGGGCCATGCCAGAGCCCCTCCAATGGAGCCTAGTCCCCACCTTGTTGGTTTAGGTGAGTAGGTGCTGGAAGGTGGTCCCTGCCCATCAAGTACTGGCTGGATTAAGAAAATAACGATAGGTTTAAAAAAAGAGCAGCCCCCTGGTACAGCAGCTAGTTGGGGATTATGACTAAGGCTAAGATTTTGTCATGGTTATTTTTGGTAAAAGTCACGGACAGGTCACGGGCAACAAACAAAAATTCATGGAGCCCGTGACTTTTACTAAAACTGACCGTACAAGCTGCAGCAGAGGTGTACAGCTCCAGCTGCAGCCCCCACTACAAGCCGCAGGGCAGGGGCTCATGGCCCCAGTGGCGGCCCCCACCGCGGGGCTGTGTGAAGAACGTAGCCCTGGCTCCAGCTGAAGCTGAAGAAGTCACGGAGGTCCAGTAAAGTGGGGGCAAAAGACATATCTGGCTTCAACACTAAGCTTGATAAGTTTATGGATGGGATGATATGATGGGATAGCCTAATTTTGGCAATTAATTGATCTTCGACTTTTAGCGGTAGATATGCCCTACGGCCAGTGATGGGACGTTAGATGGTGTGGGATCTGAGTTACTACAAAGAATTCTTTCCTGGGTGGCTGGCTGGCGAGTCTTGCCCACATGCTCAGGGTTTAGCTATCACCATATTTGGGGTCGGAAAGGAATTTTCCTCCAGGGCAGATTGGCAGAGGCCCTGGGGGTTTTTCGCCTTCCTCTGCAGCGTGGGGCACGGGTCACTTGCTGGAGGATTCTCTGCACCTTGAAGTCTTTAAACCACGATTTGAGGACTTCAATAGCTCAGACATAGGTGAGAGGTTTGTTACAGGAGTGGGTGGGTGAGATTCTGTGGCGTGCGTTATGCAAGAGGTCAGACTAGACGATCATAATGGTCCCTTCTGACCTTAAAGTCTACGATTCTATGAAGTCATGTAGTCCGTGACTGCCATGGCCTCCGTGACTAAATCGTAGCCTTAATTATGACTTCTGGGTTCTAGACCCACCTCTGACATGGACCACTTTTTTGCTGGAGGGGGAGAAGGAGAGACTGTGCCTCAGTTCAGACGCTAAGGGCCACGTTCCACCCCGGATTGCTCTGCAAGACTCCCAGCGGCCCCAGCCAGGGAACAGAGCACGGAGGAGTGAAGGGCTTGAGTTATCCAAGGGCTAATTCAGCTGGGCTAGTAGGAAAAGGAACCTCGAACAAGGCAGAGGAAATGGTTGCCAGTCAAAGGTCAGTAAGTGGAGAGAGAGAGAGTGTGTGTGTGTGATCCCCCCCCCACCCCGAAACAGGGCTGCGGAGCCCCTTACCTGTGCCACAGCCACCTGGGTCTGCTGCTGCTGCTGCAGTAGCTGATGCTGGAGGAGCTGCAGGCAGTGCTGAGATGCCAGGGGGGCTGCCGAGGCAGAGGAGCAGGGGCTGCTTGCACTCAGCAGTTGCTGGGACACAGAGGGGTAGATGGAGCAGTTTTCGGCATCCTGGGCACAAAGAAACGGGCTTAGTGACACGAGTGTAGCAGTTCCCAGATCAGCTGTTGCTGAGACTTGGGCCTTGTTTACCATGGAGGGTGGGCTCTGGCTAGAGTCGTTGGTCCTGCTCCCTAGCGTAGGCAGGCAAAGCTACTCTTTGCACTGGTGCAGCGTACCCCAGCAGCACTGCACTGATGTACTATGCAGCTTAAACCGGTTTTGCTTATCCATAGTTGGGGTGTGCACCAGTGCCTGGCTACTGACACTTGAAAACCCTAGTGTGGACGAGGCCTTCAGTATGTTGAACAATGTGCTGAAGCAAGAACAGGATCCTGCTGTTTGGCGCTGTACATGTGTATGCACCCGCTCTCCCGGCTCCAAAGGGAGTACGTTTTCCAGTGACACCACTTGCAATGAGTAACATCCCTGTGTGCATGTGTGTTTATGTGGCGCTCAGAATAGGAATGCAGGGTTTATGTCCCCTGGTACCTTCCCCTACTGGGAAGCAGTGGCAGAAAGTGGCTTGAATCTCCCAGCAAACACCCAATGGGAGCTAGTCTCCAAAATGCTCCAGCTGCCCAGAATCACCGACAGATACTAGGAATTTTGCTGTTTGGCAGCCAGAAACGTTTGCCTCCATTAAAGTGAATGATGGCAGATGGACTTGAGCCAGATCCGTTAGAGTATTAAGACACTGCAGGCAGACAACATTAATAATTAAGCAAAGCAGGCTTCCTCCCCCTCCAGTAAACCTCAGAGACCCAAGCCCCACCCCTGTCAGATCACTGGAAATTAAAATGACACTGGAGAGTAAATCTGACTGATTTCAGAGCTGCCTTTCTGGCTCATAGGTGAATGGAGGTGAATTTCCCTCTCTCGTGCTGGGCAGTTTCAGAACCCACAGGAGTTTTACACTCTCTCTCTCTCTCTCTCACTTAAACCCTAGCCCCCTGGGTTAATGCTCTCCTGCCTCACCGTCCTAAATCAGCCCTTGTTTATACACTGCGGAGTGGCTCACTCTTCAAAGCAATCAATTAAAGCTTGGTTCTCTGGACACAGCACTCTAGGGTCACTCTTTTTAACCCTAGTCAAATGGACCACTAACAAAATACCGTCAGGTTTAGCCCGCTGGGTGCCCTCCGAAAGGAAACCCAGATTTAGAGGGGAGAAATTCATTGGTGATTGAGAACCAGAGCTGTCAACTTGCAGCCGGGTAAGAGAGGGCGTCCCCTCATTGCTCGGCGGCACCTTTCATCCCCATGGCTCCCAAGGCTTTAGCAAAGAAGCCAGCCCTGCACAGGCTGTGAGGGTCCCCCCCGATGACACACTGCGACTAAGCAGTGGCCACGGGTGTCGAGCACGCAGCAATGCGTGAGGCAGGAGGTGATTGTCACAGCCCAGGAAAGGTGGAGGAAGAATGTAAAGAGACAGAATGTAGCTCTCAGAGGGAATACCTCATTTAGCAAGGCCTGAGGTTAACACCATTACTCCTGTGAAAAACTCCAGGGTGTCTTCAGTGGGCAGCAGTACCCCCAGACAGCGATGCCTCAAACAGCACATGCTCTCCACGGAGGGGAACGAGCCACGTGCTGCTAACCACCAACACGCCACGCGTGGCAGTGAGCTGGTGCTCCTGGGAGGGACCCTGCTACAATCACTAGGGAAGTTGACGCGATGGCATTACAGACTGGCGAAGCTTCTCCACTTTTAGGAAGAGGAGGCCCACGCCAATGCATGGCTCTGGCCCAGGAGCTTCCAGGCAGGGTGGGAGTGACAGCGTTGGGCTACACGATGTGTTTGCGCATTCTCTACTGGGAGGCGGTTCAGATCGGGCTCTCTAATGTACCCTTCAGGGAGCCGGGGGGGCGGTGCCATTCCTCTCTTGGCTACGAAGGATTTCCACAGCGCCTCTCTAGTGGGACACCTGCAAGTCAAGGGTGTAAAACAAAATCGCATTCCACCTGGGAAGAAAAAGTGACCTCCCTGTAGAGAGAAGCCAGTCTTGTCAGCCTGCGGCAGCTCCCACTAACCCACTCTGTCCTGGGGAAGTGCATGGAGCCATGGCCAACCAGTCCCACTCGCCCTAAAAATTTGCATTTAAAATTCATTTCCTTCCCTTGGCTGGCGCAATGCAAGCAGCTGCAGGTGCTCCAGTGCCCAGCTGGACTAGGGCCAGTTCTGGATATCAGTCATTCAGACAGATCACCTTTGGAAGCCAAACCCTTGGAAATACCTGCAGTCCAAGCCAATGACACACATCCCATTTTCATCTGTTTCACTAGTCACTTTCAGCCAGACTCAGCAAGTGATGTGAGCATTTCAGTCAGCCAGGAAATGCTCACCGAAACAAATCTTCGGCTCAGTTTTTCATTATACATTATGTCAGTTTAATAGCAACATATTCACTGTGTGAGTTCAACACTGCGACACAGCTGTCTCCAGCACCTCTCTGGACACCACTATTTAGCAACTGGGCTAGGAAAGGGACACAGGAATTCCCATAGCAGATCAGATGTGGTCCATCCAGCCTGGTATCCTTTTTCCATCAGTGACCAGTACTTGATTCTTCAGAGCAAGGTGCAAGAAAACCAGACTGGACAACTGCAGAATAATCTGCTTACAGGGGAAGCTTTTTCCTAAATTATATCAGTTAGTTGGACATCTTATTGCCTAAAGAATGAGGATTTATAGTCCTTAGTTTTGGTCCTGTTTAACATTAACAGTGTGGGGTGTTCTCTTTAGCCACACAAAAATCTAACCCCTTTTAAAAACCTGCTGAGCTCTTGGCCTTAGTGATATCTTGTGGCAGCAAGTTCCACAGGTTAATGATGCAAACCCACCCTGGAAGGCCAGCTGTTTGCAGTTGCTGCATTCCCTGTTTGTTGCTCCTCTTCACTTCCCAGTGACCAGCTGCAGTGAGCCAATGGGAAATTACATTCTGTATAGCAAGTCCTACAGGAACAGTCCTCTATCAGGATGCTTTAGAGACATTAATGGAGCCTCAGATCTGCCGGACAGTGCATGCCCTGCAGGCAAGATATGCAGCGTGTAGGATGGAGCTGGGGAAGCCTGGACAGGTGGCTACCTGACCTGCCTCTCTACTGCAGCTTTCAAAGGAAGGGGCTGTCCTGCTGGCTTTCTGCCCAGGGACATGCTGAAACGAAGGCAGTTTAGCGTCCCGTGACTGCTGTTGCTGTGAACTGCCCTCCTGAGCGAGGCTGTGGAATGAACCCCCAGAAGAAAATGCGTCATATCAGCGAATGGGCGTCACTATCAAATTCCCCCCAGCTCCGCCCGTTATTACCTGACAGCTCTGTCCGGATTTCAGGATGCCCAGCTCCCCCATGGGGGAGGGCAGCTCTTCAGCGCCCCTCTCAGACAGACCGATGCCATCGGAGTCCACGTCAGCCTCATCGACATCCACGATCTTGGCTCCCCCCTGCTGGTGAACTTCAAGGGTGAGAGTAAAACAAATGAAGGAACCACAATGTGAGCAGATCAGAGCAAGGAGACTGAGTGGCAGGGCCGGGCTGGCAGGAGAAGGGAGAGCAGCTAAAGACTAGTTTGGCTTTCCTTAGCCATCTCCACGTGTTGGAGCAAAGTTAACGGACAGGAAAAGTGCCTTGGAGGGTCAGTGCAGCACGGGGCTGGGCCAAGTCCTCAGCCCCTCAGGGCTGTGTCCACATGGGGGATACTTCCCTCCTCTGGATGTTTTTAAGGCACTCTGCTTCGTTGCACTGAAGGGGCTGGAGCAGCAGAGTCTGTAAAATGCACGTTCTCTGGGCCGTGAGCCCAGCTGCGGACATAACCCATGGTCAGGGTTAGCACCAAGACAGCGATGCATCACCAGAGACTGTCCCCCACCCGAGAGCACCCAGTGCGCCAGCTGCCTTGGGAGGGGGCTCTGCAGGTGTCCCCGGGGAGCTGTCACCTTCTAGAGGCTGCTCTTCCACAGACTTGTCACTGGCGCCGTCCGCCTGTCCATCCGCGTTCTGCAGTGCGTGCTGCAGGCTCAGCTTGTGACACACCTCGAAGGCCTGGCCCACTGTCCGCACCACCCGCATGGCCTGGCTCTGGGGAGCAGATGGTTAGAGCCCTTTGGAGCAGGAGCTTTGCCACAGGTTATATCACGGAGCAGAAACCAGCCGTTCCCAGGAGACTCCTGCTATTCCCTGCTTCCCACCACGGCTCTGCTGATGGGGAGCCATCCCTCCACATCCCAAAACAGAGCCTGGGCCCGCCTGGAGAGCCAAACTCCCACCTGCCCAAAAGGGAGCCTTCTAGGCACACTTAGCAGCATGCAGGCCCCAGGAACCTCCATAAGGCTGCTCTGGGGCAGCGGTATTTAGGAGGCATCAGATAATAGGGACTAGAGCAGCACTAATCACTTCCCGTTTTGAAATGCAGCTGCCTCTGACTGGAGCTCCCAATTCTCTGCACAGATAATTCTACATCCCTTTGTGCCATTGTCTCCCCAGACAATGGAGTTTTACTCCTGGCTCCCTGACAGACTTTATTCCTTGGTTTGCTAGGTCTGGAGCGTCCTCTGGACAGTTATCTGTGTGAAGGGGCTGGGGCAGTGTCCTTCCTAGAGCTGCACTGTACGATTGTCTGCTAGAGAGAGTTTGGGGGAGTGCAGGCAAGCCTGAGTTGGATAAACTTTAACTTCTGCAGCCACTGCATTGGGAAGCGTTAGTCGGGATGGAGATACGTTTAAGCCAAAGTTAATGAGCCTACTGATGTTGTTCAGCGTCCCTAGTAGTCTGCTATAAATGGGATAATTAACCCTACAATATGTCCTTTGTTCTCCGGGTAAAATCCAGGATGAATTCTCAGCAAGACTCACTTGCCCCTTCGCTCTGCCAAGTACCCATCAGGGATTGGGGGGGGGTTTCCTCCCGGGATAACCCAGACCGTTACAAAGGATACACGCCTCTGAAAAGCTAGTCACTGCAAATGACCCACCGCACCTTCTTTTTGGATTTGAAAACGTTGCATCTGAAGGAGTTGTTGGCGCCATCCCTTGCAATGTAACTGAAAATCTTTAGGTCCTGCGAGTCGTGCGACACGTAGAAGATTCTAGTTAGAAAAGACACAGAGTGAATCAGAGACACTAAGCGTGGCAAAAATCTAGATTCCAGTATAGCAAACAGGACACGGGAATCAAACCATCCAAAGTCAGGATCAGGCACAGAGCGGCTAGTCAAAAGGATCCCGGGGCAAAGGAAAAATAGGAACAGCCCCACGGGTCTGGAAGAGAGATTCCTCTTTCCTTCCACAATTAGCAAGGCCAGCGAGCAGCTAGTAAGATGGCACTTTGCATGTCTGAGAGAAATCACCTGTTTCTAAAGCGGGTACAAACTCTAAAAAGCTACAGCATTAGAGACCAAGCATCTCCCTAGCTCCTGACAGTGAATCTAGTCTCCAGCTGCCGCACCAGGTGTTCTAACATCTAAAGTCACATTGTGCCTAGCACTCAGTCAGCCCAGTGACATCTGGGCTAGGAAGTTACAGGGGGTGTTTCGGGCCCTTCCTGTCACATCAAAGGGAACAGGAACAGTCTGCATTTTGCTCTGCTATGGTAGCAGAAATAGCCCTTCCTCTTTTAACCTTCAGCCATTAGCCTCCACGTGTTCACCTGTTCTGCTTCAGCCCTCGTCAGCTGAGTGAGCTCTGCCACACAGCGGATAAGGAGCCAGCGCCCTTTCAACCGGAGAGCAAAGATCCAGGCTAGCCAGTGTCAAGAACGACCACAGATGACCACCTGCCTGGCAGGGGCAGTTTCAGGGCAGGGGTTCCTAAGTCCAGGAACCCACCGCAGTTTGGGAAACACACTCTGCAACGAGCCACGTCAAAAGCCATTAGCTAGTTTGTCCTAGCCTACAAGGCAGAAAGTGGTAGCATAGGCCCATTATCATTAATGACAGGCAGATGGTACAATACAAAAGCCAGCTTCCTTCTGATGCTTCTGCAAAGGATGCTGAATTCAATCTCCACCCCATTCCCAGCTCAAGGGATTTTCAGTCCCCCCTTTACCTCCCCTACCCCTGTTAACCCTGGCTCCTTCCCATCCTCCACTTGACAAAATCCATTTCCACAGACCATGTTACAGTTTTTTCCACTCAAATTTTTGTCCATTTTATTCCCCACAGTTATTTCATTGGGTAAAAATGCACTGAGTAATTTCAGCTGTGAATGAGGAGGAAATGAGGGAGACGGGCGCATGTTTCTCCTTCCCCCTCCAGTTCTCTGTCTTTGAATTCTGCCTTGAATCCGCAATCAGGACAATTATCAAGAACATGGACTCGGCCCTGTAATAAGCAAGTTGTCTTCTTTCCAGATTATTTTAGTAACAATCAAGCTCCTTTCTAGAGAGTCTACTGAAATTACCCTCTCCCTTTGGCACACAGACCCGTCTCCTTTAAGAATGCCAGAAGGGAGAGGGACAAGAATAAGACAAATATCAATGGTGCCTCTTGGAAACTCTTCCCCACCATTCCCTGGATGTAAAATGTAGGTATCTGAGCTCCTAGTGCTGTGGGCTTTGCTCTAACGATGCAATTACTGGCTTAACAGATTTAACAGCCTGAACCAATTTAGGGCCTTTAGAAAGTTAGTTTTATAGATTACCTAGCATCATTATGGCTGCCGGGGAGGAAGGAATTCCAGGAAGGAATTCCATATGTCCTAAGGCAGCCAGAATCGAGAGACAGCTCACACACCAGAATTCAGAGATGTTCACTATCGAGTCTAGTCTGCCCACCTGACATATGGCCGGGGTGGGGATGGCAAGTGATTGGTTTTAGTCCTTTCAAGAGATTAACCTGAGATTCAGTTACCAGTGTCAGAGGCAATCAAAGGACACCCCTTTCCCCGTGTGTTCCAATCCCCTGTTGTTGAATAGCTGCCCAGGTGTTGTATTGTAGCTCTGCCTGGGGATTGAGAACTGGACCACGTTTGGCTCCTGGGGAAGAAATGCTGCTCTCATGCCAAGCACAATGGCCCAAATCTCTATGACAATTTCCATTGTATGCCCGCCAGGCAGTGAGTGTGTACAGCACCTTCGGGCTCTCCCCGAGCCTGATGACAAGCTGTGGATTCACCCGTCATCTCTTCTTGTCCCATTGTACAGAAAGGGTCTGCTCTTAGCTGGGGGGTTCATCCCACTCAGCATTAACTCTTTATCCTCTGGGATGGAAACCCTCCAGCAGGGGCTCCGTTTGTTCAGCCCCAGTACAAGTGTTAACCCCTCAGAGCCAGGCGCAGCCTAGGCTGCGGTCACAAAGAACTAATGGACAAAGGGGCTGCTCCAGTCCCCCGGTCTCTCCCTTCAGTCTTCCCTGCCTCTTGCTGACGCATCCATAGCCAAAAGGCAGCCTGCACCCACACACCCGTTCTCCATAGACCAAAGAATCCCACTGGCTTTAAAACCATGTGACTGTATCTGGCCGTGGTCACATGCCCAGACCAGATGGACCATTGTGGTGCAGTGGTTAGAACAGCCACCTAGCAGACAGGAGCGCTGGTTTCTAATCCCAGCTCTGCCGCTGATTTGATGTGGGGGGAGGGGTAAATCACTGAAGTCCCCGCCTTCCATCTGTAAAGCGTGGAGAACACCTGCCTCCTGGGGGAGCTTTCTGCCTGCAAACGCTTGGAGATCTTGGGACAGACTGTAGGGAAGGGCACTGTTATTGTACCAGCCTTCGTATGGGTCAGTTTCCTCACCCTATCCTGTCCATGCTAGACAGGACGATTAACAAAGGCTGTCTTTGGGAGCACACGGCAGAGAGCACCGAGGCTAGGTTAGAAGGGGAAACGGGGTGGATTTTTCCTTAATTCAGTCTGCATCACAACTAATTGTTCTTAGCACCTAAGAACAATGGTTTTCAGTCACCCTCCTCTTCTAACACAAATAACACGTATCTATTTTAAACTAACATTTTCCTAAAGGGCGGAGGCATTCTCCAAAAACATAGGGAATCAGAATTCCTTTCTTAAGTAATGTAGCCACCTCGTTAATTTAACACAGGCCTTTGGGAAGCACAACTGTGGCTAGGCAATAATTTGGCACATAAAAGCCATGCTGAATGCATCCTATTACATTTGATTGGTTGCCTCTAAAGCTAGCTGGCGCAATCCTCCGCAGCCTACCTGTAGACAGGATCGTGCATCACTAACATCTTACTCTCGTCCCAAGTCCATTCTTTTCTCTGTAAGCAGGGAAGAGAAAAAAGGAATGACACACCTTATGAGCTGAAGCCACACTGCTCTGCCTGAAGAACTGTTTGTAATGCGAACCCAAGGAGAACAGTGGGTTTTACCTCAACCAGAATCTAGGCCAGGATTTGAATATTTTAGTGACAGTCATTTGGCTGAAGAAAAGCTGGTGGCTCAGATGTAAGTGCACACTTTGGACCATTTAGCCCTCCCGCAGGCTTGAAAAATGGTCGTAAGCTAGAATTCGGTTATCACACAGACAGAGGAAGGGCAGGTTTGGCACTGGACTGACTAGAATTTAGGAGATTTAGGTGCAATTCCCAGCTCTACCTCAAAGTTCATGTGTGATCATGGGCAAATCATTTCATCTCGATTCCTCAGTTCCCCATCTGTGAAATGGGGATAATGGTAATTCCTGCCCTACCAGCATGTGGAGGATTAGCTCATTAAGGTATTAATGTCTGCAAGGTGCTTAGTGGAGCTGGTCAAAAACCCGCTAATTATTTTTTATGGGAAATTTTGTTTAAATAATTTTTGTTGAAACTTCCTTTGAGAATTGTTTGTTTTGGTAAAAGAAAAAAACAAAACAAAACCCACACCCCTCTCCACCACCCAACAGTTTCAACTGTCAAAACCATTTTTCAGTCAATTGTTTCTGATGGAAAATTTAGAAAACGGGGTTTTTTTGGTGAAAATTCTTTCAAGAAAGGTCATTTTTCATCAAAATTCTGCTCCCCCAGAACCATTGTGAGCAGCTCTAGCACTTGGACACAGCCCTGGCCTCACAGAAAAGCCTGTTTGCAAAATTAATCTGGTTTGGCCTCACAGAATCCTTCACTCTTGTTAGAATTTCCCACTAAGCAGCTAAAGTGCTGACTCCAGGCAGTGCAAACCCCTCCCTCCGCCCCCCAACTCACTTACCCGACTATCTTCACACCACATACAAAAAGCTCCTTTGTAGGAAACAAACACACGGATGGCAGCCAAATGAGGCCACAACTTCACAAGAGTCAAAGAGGGACTGGACATTTATATGGACAGCAGAGCACCCTCAGTTTCCATAATTGCACAAATTTTGGCAGGGATACTAAATCTTGTGCTTCGGCATTTAAACCGATCTCTAACGACTAGAGATTAGGATGAGACCTAATGTGGGAGATGGATTATCCCACATCTGGCGACTGTGAGGTTCTTATAGCTTTCTCTGAAGCAGCTGATCCTGGCCACTGGCTGACAGGACACTGGGCTTGCTGGACTTTGGGTTCTGATCCAGCCATGGCTAATCCCTTAGACACATTTGGTGTGAAGTCTCACCTTCTGCTTCTTGCGCAGAATCACCTTCACTCCGTCCACAGAAACGATGATGCTCACTTTCTTCTTCTTGATGTTCTTTGCTTTGAATTCATACTAAGGGAAAAGAAACCCGAGTTAGAAGAGATTTCAGGTCAATAGTTAACACCTGGGATGGACTTAGACAAAACAGGCAATTTTAGCCTAAATTTTATTTTAAAAAAATCTAGTTCTAGCTGAAGGAGGAGCCATTTTGTGCCGCTGAGGGAAGTGTGTTCAAAAGGCACACTGGCAAAGGCTTCTTTGTGTGTGTGTGTGTGTGTGTTTTTAATTAAAAATGACCCTTGTTGAGGAGACAAACTGACCTTGACTTTGGTGGGCTATTTTCAAAGCCCAAAGTTTCCTCAGCTCTTAATGGGACCTGAGCACTGAAAATCTGGCCACGAATGCCATGTTCTTGAGGCCAGTGGCTGGAACATGAACGTTGGCATCTACCTGAGCAGACTCTGGAACTGACTGGTAGACTCTCACGTGCGTGTGATTGCCAAGCCCGGGAGAGGGCACCAGTGGAGTGTGGGGGAGGGAAGCGCTTGGTGGATGGGTTTTGCTGGTGCTAATGACTAGTTAAATGGCAAGTGACATAAATGGGCTTTCAATGCAGGGAGAAGACACAGCACACATAGTCTGGATAAAGTCGGGGGAGGCACTGTCGTCAGAGAAGGGGGCACCAACCAGAACCTGCTGGCATATGGAAATTCCATTGGTAGCAGTTAAAGTGCTGGCAAATCCAGCCTCTGTATCAAAGGGTTAACTCAGAGGGATTTGCCTGCAGGATAAGCTAGGAACTGATGACTTCTGGCAGGTCCATTGTCCTTGGGTTTGGGCACTGCAGTGCACAGCGCAGGACCATTCGGAGGGAGGACCATAGGGGCAGCAAAAATGCAGTCATCTTGGCTATTAACATAATCGTATCCACTTCGATGGGCTCAGTATCCCTGAAACACTTCAGGCTCCTATCTGCATGCTCCTGCTGAATGCCACTTATTTTAAAAATTACGGAGTTTGTTTTTTAAATATTGCCCTTGACAAAAGCTAAGGAGCAAGCCAAGAGACAGCTAGACCGAACATCCACGAGTTCATCATGGACCCAGTCCTTACGCCCCCATTCTGGGCTTGGTTCTGAGCTGCTAAATATTTTTACACAGGATTTAGCTGACCCCGTACGAACAATGGACTCCATGCATGGGCCAGACCCTCAACTGCTGTAAACCAACACAGCTCCATTGAAATCGGTGTAGCTTCAGTGATTTAAGCTGGCTGACAATCTGGCCACATGCATCTATTTAAAAAAATACTCTGGATTAACTTGGTGTAAGAATTACTGTTGGTTGACAACAGTGAGAATAAATCCTTGTTTTAATAGTCTAATAACATAAACTCAGCTGTAATTGAGCTGGTGAAATCAGCAAGGGAGCCATTGCAAGGATTGCCTGACAGCCATAGCCATGTAAACAGCAGCAGTGAGGCTGTGAACACTAATGTTACATACACTTCAAAATTGCGCAAGATCCTGCAAGAGTCACGGAGGCCCCGATGCAGGCGCATCCGTCTTGATTCTGGGTAGTATCCAGATGCTGGCAATGCATTCAAAGGCAGCTCTGCTACCCCCACGGGCTCTCCCGTCTCCAAAGGGGATGTCACTCCCCTCCTTACAGGTCCTATTCCATTTTCATTTTAAAAGGGGAGAGATTTTAAACTGTTGGTTTTTTTTTTAAAAAGGCAAAGGACTCATGCCTCGCTAATTTGCAACTCAAAATAGCAAGAGACACGACCCAGGCCTGAGGGCTAGGATTTGTTTTTTCCCTGTATGGGGTACGGTGAGATTGCCGCAGTGGGGCAGTCTGGACATTGTTGTTTCTGAAATTGCAAGATCAGGGTTGGGTTGTTTCTCATTTTTCTTAAAATTCAGACTAGGGTGAGCCCAGAAGGGCCTTTGTGGCACTGCAGGTAGAACCAGGCCATGGACGGGGACACGTCATGGTCACCTCCTGGGCCAGCCTGCTACCCCAAGCACCTGGCTGGGCAGAAGTAGCTTCTGCAGTTGGGAGGGGGCAGTTCTTGCATACCCAATCAGTTGCTCTGTCGCCACCAGTGGAAAGGGGGCGGAGGGCTCAGGTAGTTCTGGGCACTCTGGGGCACCACATGTTGCTTGGACTCAGCCCCAGTGCGGAGAGTGGTGGAGCCCCTTCCCACAGCCAGAACTAACTGCGAACAGACTCCCAGAGGGATTCTGCAGCATATTTCATGGAATTCTAAAATAACAGGCACTGGTTCCTCCTATTACTTTGGTAGAAGGATTCCTGGGCTGCCATTCCAGGTCCTCATCGTTTCCTGGTCCAGAGGGTCAGTTTTGAACACACGTATTCTAGGCACAAAGGGACTGCCATACTGCAGGGGCCAAGCCCAGACACAGTAGGCAGCCATGAGATAACCTGCCCCCAGAGAATGTTACCTCCTAACTGTGGGTCTGGGTCTCACTATGATCTATAACAGTGCTTCTCAACCAGGGGTACGTGTACCCTGGGGGTACGCAGAGGTCTTCCAGGAGGTACATCAACTCATCTAGAGATTTGCCTAGTTTTATAACAGGCTACATAAAAAGCACTAGTGAAGACAGGACAAGCTAAAATTTCATACAATGACTTGTTTATACCGCTCTATACACTGAAATGTAAGTACAATATTTAAATTCCAATAGATCTATTCCATAATTACATGGTAAAAATGAGAAAGTCGGCAGTTTGTCAGTAACAGTGTGCTATGACACTTTTGTATTTGTATGTCTGGCTGCGTAAGCACATTGTTTTTATGCGAGGTGTAACTTGGGGTACGTGAGACAAACCAGACCCCTGAAAGGGGGACAGTCATTTGGAAAGGCTGAGAGCCACTGATCTACAAGAGCAGACGGAGTGGAGAAGCCAGGCAGTTCCCTTACTGAGGTGCCATGAGTGGTGAGAGAACCGTGGTGAAAACCACATTTTCAGTGCTGGCACCTCCCGAAACAGAGCCACACCTGCCCAGGCAAGGCCCACGAGAAGACTACGTCTCACGGCAGGAGGGTGCAGTGGTTAGAGCAGTAGCTGGGAATGGGGATACCCAGGTTCAATGGCCTGCTCTGCCACCGATCCCCTCTATCACACTGAGGCTGTCACTTGCCAGGCGAAGTCCCTTAACAAGTGTGAGGTGCTCAGATGGGGCCAGCTAAACACCCTCACTGGAGTGTGGACACCTTGCATCGACACGTGCATGCGGTTCCTAGGTTCATATATAGCTCAGAGCAGTGAAGTCTCTGAGCACCTACTGCAGAAAAGGAGCCTCCGAAACCCATTACACGCCACATCAGGCTCACAGCCAGAAACATTAGGTGGCCTTCCTGTCTATCAGGCTTCTGCTGCTGCTGCTGCTCATAAAATTCCAGCACTTCACACTGTTTATGGCAGGCAAGCCCTGGATAAGATGTACCCTTCTGATCTCTCCATGCATTATTACTCTGAGACAAGCTGTTTAAAAATCTAGCTGCAGCGCGGTAGCATGCGAAGCAGGAGCTAAAGTACAAGACGGGCGTTTGTGTTTAAATGGAGGTATGAACGTTAATGGTCGCAGAGGTGAGGGATGAAAGCCCTGGCGTGAGTCGTAATTCTGGCAGAAAGTGCAAACTCCTTCCACAGTCACTCAGTCGCTCTCTGCACAGCCAGCTAGTGCAACCCTCCTCCCCCTCCTGCAACTCAAGCCTGACCCGCAGCTCTACTCTGCTGGTCCAGCACTGGGCTGCCCCACACTGCTCTGCAATGCTGAGATCCTGTCCGCTGCTAAATGCCTGGCTCCATTTATTTTAGGAATATAGCTGCAAAGTAGGGAAGGGAGGGAGGACAAGCCAATCATGAAGCAAACTGTTCAGACTTCACTCACCGGACCCGGATTTGGCTCTCTGGCTATGGATCTACCATGTGTTGGCATGTGTGTTAGCTAGTACCGGTTTCCTCACACTGGCTGTGGCCATTCCTGTTCCCACCTGGCTACAGCCTTCCTGCTGGATCACCTCTAATGGGCTAGTGCACAATGTGTCTCTCGCACAGGGGAGGCGACAGGTCTCCAATGACAGGCAAGATGCAGCAGAGCAGGGAAGCAGCATTAGCCTGGCTTCGAAATAATTAAAACTCATTGGGCCTTGAAGTGCATCTCCAAGGAGTGAAATCCTTCAAAGCCCAAGAGGCATGAGGATGGCACTGCCATTTTGGGCCACTTTGCATTGGGAGTGAGCTATGCCAGCTGGGCAAGAGAGATCAGCACTGCAAAGGGCATGTCTAGGAGAGGTCATTACTATCCCATTAAAAAGCTGCACACCAACTCTTTCTTTCAATCTCTGAACACAAGAGGCAGATGGGATCCAATTGCAGAGTCATTTATTCACTTCCTTTCTAGTAAGAATCAATGGTGTTATATTGTAATTAAGCATTTATATTTTTTATCTGGAGGAAAAAGCAAATGCAAAAAAATTCCCAAACTGGACTCAAACTAGTATGTTTTATAACCTAGCAAAGATGAAACGCTCGGTGTGTAAACAAACGGAGAAGAATGTAGATGGTTCATTGGTTATCCTTACATTGGCTTCTAAGAAAGGGGTCAATGTTCCTTGCATTTTTTTTATTTTATTGAATCAATTTCTGTGTCCTCCCCTACCCCCAAAATTTGCCAGTGGTACCGAGGACCAAATTCTATTCAGCAACATGGGTTTTCTTTGCTGACTTCCAGGTTTCAATAGTTAGTCTTTTTGATGATCATGCAGGGTGGGGTAGAAATACCTTTGGATATTAATGATTCTGAAGATGCCCCTAGGTTTGGGAGATTCCAGGGGGAGACTGCACAGACAAGGGTCTGTCTGATCTAAAGAACCTACATATGATGCTTCAAAGAAGAGGCAATGCCTCTTTCTGGCCTGCTTTCTTGTCATTTAGCAGCTAAATTTTATTCTATTTAGAGACAGTCAAACCTGCCTGACCTGGAATACACTCTGTAACTGCTTTAAATCCCTTTGTGCAATGCCTTGCTTTGCATAA